ACTTTGAAGACAATGTGAAGCTCTGTTCTTGTGTGGTGCTTGACATAAGCAGGAGTGGCGAGGTGAATCAGCAAAGGCACGGAGGGATGCTGCTAGTCCCTGGACTGCATAAGCTGGCTATCACACGCTAACGACATTTGCAGGACACAGTGTCAGCTTTGCTCTGTTCCCGACAGAGGCTCTTCTGCAGCTCAAACGATAAGGGGATGCAAGTCTCAAGAAAAGCAGAAACTGCTTTTAAGTTCTGAACGGCCACAGCATACAGCACATTACCGAATGCGAAGTCCCAAAGGAATCTATTTGAAAGGAATATAAATCTCAGTAACAGCCTTCAGTTTGCAAGGCTTTTTTGCGTGGTTACTTTTCAGGAGGGATACTCAGATATTAAGAAGGCGGGTGGCTCAGAAATACCACAGATGTTTACAGTTCTACCCTTTATAGAGTCTCTTCTATAAAAAAATGCCAGACAACTTTATAAGCCTTGATGGATTGAGCATTTCAACATCCTGTTGGGTCAGATGATAGCAACATAATACCCACATTAAAGATAAAATAAGACACTTTCCCACAGTTATAAAGCAAAACTAGAAACAGTAAGCAGTCCAAGCTTTTTTTACTGCGGAGTTAACCTGGATAGTGGTCACCTGCTCAATGTATGCTGAGTACCAGCAACTCACTCAACCCCATTTCTAAGTCCCTCTCTGCTTCTTCTCTTTCTATGCACAAAGCCTTCTGTGCATAAAGCCTTATCCCACAACTCTTCATAGAGAGAACATTTTCTCTCCAGCTGATGTTATTCTTTGTACTGCATATGATTTCTTCCCCCATCAGTGATGTCTGGGTTGTTTATAGGAAAGATGGGAAATACTAGAGAACTAGCAACAATGCTAACCACCGTTATCAGGCAAATGTGTTCTGGGATAAACCCATCTACCACCTGGAAAATATCATTACGACCCTGGCTGACCTTGGGTCAGAAGTTTTATCTGTGTGGATGGGGTCAGTTAATGACAGTAACTGCTGGGAAGAGGTGCATGTGCTGATAAGCAAGTGTGCTTCTCAGCGTGGTGATGGAAAAGTTTTGCATTCCTATATACAATGCGTCAATTATTGAAGGCTGTATGCAGAACATCTCCCATAGTACTGTAAAAACTCCCCCTTCCCTCAAGAAAATCAAGCTACATTCCCAAAAACCAAGACTCATGCAAAAATCCTGTATTGGTTTCTTTCAATTACACAAACATGAAAACAAACGAGAGCAGCAACCTTCACTCAGACCTGACTTTCTACTCAATGGTTTACAAACAGCAGCTGTGTGGCATATGCTGCCAAAACAATAGCTACCAGATTAGCAGATGGTATGTTGTGAATTAAAAATTGACACAAACCCCAGACGTACCACTCAATCCTCTCTTGACACCAAAACTTATTTCCGTACTATTTTTCTCACCTCATGATATTTGCACACAGAAAAAAAAATAATTTTTAGGTACTCCATCTGGATTTAGAAGGGACCAGTTAACCTGCAATATCCTATTACTCTGCCGTCTTAAAAAAAAAAAAATGCAGTTTGATTACTGCAAAAGAAAACATGGAGCAAGAGGTTCTGAGAGCCTGGATACCTCTACGTTTATGTTTGTCCCCCTTTGCCTCCATGGCTGCAATAACCAGACGCTCCACCAAAGTCCTTTCACACACCTTTCAGATATGGAGGAGTGTGAACTGGGTTGGTGAGTCCAGAACTACGTACGTACTAATCCTCCAGATGGCTGCAGCTAAATCTCTGTGGTATTATCCGTCACATCTCACTTCTGCCCACCTGTTACCTAGGAGAGCACGAAGCCAGGTCTCTCCCTAATGCCCAGGTATTGGATTTTCCAAAATTTTAAATTTCCACCCTTTTTTCTAACGTGGCTGAAACTGCCCAGGGGCGTCGAAGTCAGCAGAGACAGAAAGGGAGGCACAAGCAGGCAGATGAGCAGGCACATTGAGCCAGCAATGTGCCCTGGTGGCCAAGAAGGCGAATGGCATCCTGGGGTGCATCAAGAAGAGTGTGGCCAGCAGATCGAGGGAGGTCATCCTCCCCCTCTACTCTGCCCTGGTGAGGCCGCATCTGGAGTACTGTGTCCAGTTCTGGGTTCCCCAGTTCAAGAAAGACAGGGATCTGCTGGAGAGGGTCCAGCAAAGGGCTACGAAGATGATTAGGGGATTAGAACACCTCTCATATGAGGAAAGGCTGAGGGACTTGGGTCTCTTTAGTCTAGAGAAAAGAAGACTGAGGGGGGATCTTATTAACACTTACAAATACTTAATGGGAGGATGCCAGGGGGATGGGAGCAGTGTTTTTTCAGTGGTGCCCAGTGATAGGACAAGGGGTAATGGGCACAAGCTTGAACATAGGAAGTTCCATCTTAACATGAGGAGGAACTTCTTTACTTTGAGGGTAGTGGAGCGCTGGAACAGGCTGCCCAGAGAGGTTGTGGAGTCTCCCGCTCTGGAGACATTCAAAACCCACCTGGACGCTGTCCTGTGCAACCTGTTGTAGGTGACCCTGCTCTGGCAGGGGGGTTGGACTAGATGATCTCCAGAGGTCCCTTCCAACCCTGACCATTCTGTGTGATTCTGTGATTCTGAGATAGGATCGCATAGGCTTTGTTTCCTCTGCACTCTGGGTAATTTTATTAATTTTACAGTTTACAAATAATAGAAAACAAAACACTGCCACAAAGCAGCATTTACATAACCAGGAGTTTCCAGGCGCCTGAAATCTTGAGTTCAGATCTAAATACCAGAAACCAGATGCTTAAATCGCAGTGTATTTCTGACACGCAGAGACACATGTCTGCATGAAACACCCCTTCCCAATCCTGGCGCTTGGGATCAAGGGACAGGGGAATCTCACTGCTTCTCTTTTTTCATTTCCCACTTTAAAACATAGTTGCTGCTAGCCTGAGTACCAAGATTTGCACCAACGGGACGAATCCTGTAGAGCTCTCGGGGAGTTTGCAGGGGATTACCAGGGACTGGCCCTTACTGGGGGCCAACACTCAATGCCCGTCAGCCGAGGCCTGCTGCTGGGCCAGGGGACTCGGGGGGATGGTGCCTGCCCAAGAGCTGAGGAGTAGCTCAGTGGTGAAGCACTCTTCTTCTGACCGAGCCAGCTTCTTCCCCCACTTCCCACTTATTATCTGGAGCTGTGCTTGTGAAGGAAGACCCACAACCCCAGGTGAGGAGCCGGCAGGTCGAAGGAGGTGATTATGCCCCTCTACTCTGCTCTGGTGAGACCCCACCTGGAGTACTGCATCCAACTCTGGAACCCCCAACATAAGAAGGACATGGACCTGCTGGAGCAAGTCCAGAGGAGGGCCATGAAGATGATCAGAGGAGCACCTCTCCTATGAGGACAGGCTGAGAGAGTTCAGGTTGTTCGGTACAGAGAAGAGAAGGCTGTGGGCAGACCTTACAGCGGCCTTCCAGTATCTGAAGGGGGCCTACAGAAAAGACGGGGAGGGACTGTTTATCAGGGATTGTAGTGATAGGATGTGGGGTAATGGCTTCAATCTGGAAGAAGGTAGATTTAGAATAGATATTAGGAAGAAATTCTTTACTCTGAGGGTGGTGAGGCACTGGAACAGACTGCCCAGAGAAGCTGTGGATACCCCATCGCTGGGTATCCCTGGATGGGGCTTTGAGCAACCTGGTGTAGTGGGAGGTGTCCCTGCCCATGGCAGGGGGGATGGAACTAGGTGATTTTGAAGGTCCCTTCTAACCTAAACCATTCTGTGATCCTACGATCTTCCTCCCACACGCCCCCCGCCCGCTCCGCTCCGCTCCGCCGGCCGCCTGAGGGGACGGACGGGGTGGGGCGGGGCCCG